GACCAGGCCGGAGACCTGCTATGACAGATACATAAATGGACTCACCTGGGCAGCAAAGAGCTGATAGAAGCCATTAGGGGATCCAGGATACTCATCATGGACCTAAGATATCTGGTAGAGGAGATAGTAAAAAGCTGCAAAGTCTGCCAATAGGTGAATGCCTGCTGCACCAAGATAGGCACAGGGAAAAGACCTAGAGGAAATAGACCAGGAGTCTTCTGGGAGGTAAACTTTACAGAAGTTAAACCTGGAAAATATGGTTATAAATATTTATTAGTCTTTATAGATACTTTTTCTGGATGGGTAGAGGCTTTTCCCATGAAACAGGAGACAGCTCCGTTCATGGCCAAGAAGCTCCTAGAAGAGATTTTTCCCAGGTTTGGGGTACCCAAGGTAATGGATCTGCCTTTGTCTCTCAGGTGAGAACAGGGGTTGGCAAAAGTATTGGGGACAAATTAGAAACTTCATGCGTATACCGTCCCCAAAGTTCAGGCCACATAGAAAGGACTAATAGGACACCCCATATCATTTCAACTTAACACCTTTTGAGATTCTTTGTGGAGGCCTGGCTCTATTGGTGGGCACTGGACCTGACCTAGAGATCTCCCAAAAAGGAGATCAAGACCTTGTCAAAAACTGGTGACCCTTGAGACAGTTCAGAGAGAAATATGGTTCCAGCTGTCTGCCCTTTATACTCCAGTAATAACTGAGGTGTCATACCGGTACCAGGTCAGAGATGCTGTCTATGTTCACCAACATCAGACCCAGTCCCTGGAACCCGGCTGGAAGGGCCCCTACTTGGTGTTGCTGATGACTCCTATGGCCATAAAGGTGGATGGCATAGCGGCTTGGATACATGCTTCTCTCATGTAACCAGTGACCAATCCACCCTCTGTGGACCATCTGTCTTGGAGCATGAAAAAAGACAAGCAACTCTTTAAAACTCAAGTTCACTCAGTGAGCTGCCAAGAATCAAGAGTTTCCTGACCTTGATGGGAGTTCTGATTCTGATAAGACATAAGGTGCTGAAAGCTGGATCTAGCCCTCATCAGTCAGCCAGACTGACTTGGATTGTATCATCAACCATAACAGGTGATGAGGTTGCCAGGGTAACCCAAGACCACTCCTCTTTCACCTGGTGGCCCCCCTAACTTTTGACCTGTGTGATCTGACAGCCAAGTTGGACACCTGGGACATCCCGAACCAAGAGGTAAATGGGGACTTGCTGGAATGTCATGGAAAAGCCTCATGCTCACAAATGCACTGCCCAGGAAATGGACTAGGAGGAAGGGACATAGGATGCAGACACCCCCAATTAACATACTGCCTGCACAAGGTCCCAATTTATATATGCCCACAAAATGAGAGACCCAGATCCTTAGCCCATCAGTATGGGGGCCCAGAAAGCTTCTACTGTGCTAAGTGGGACTTTGAGACCTTGGGAGACACATACCTTAGGATTTAATCACAGTGAGTAGATCCTCTAGAGGAAGAGGGCCCATGCTATAATTGTAGGGGATATCACATTCAGGGGACGTGCCCTGACCTCTCCTGAGGAAGCCAACAGCCCTCAGGGATGTGGGTCTGAGAGGGTCAATGCCTCAACTTTTCTTGCAACCTGATCACTATAAAGTTTACCTAGAAAATGAAAGAGGCCAAGGATAGATGGCTAAAGGGTAGGACATGGGACCTCAGACTTTACCAGGAAGGATATGTTGATGGACTCCTTTTTACCATCAAACTCAAGATAGAAGCCCCTACCATCTCTGTGGGACCCAATAAAGAGGTTACAGGTATCCCCCATAAGCTACCCAAGCCCAAGCCCCCTACACCAACCCAGGTAAAGTTAACTACTGTCATGACCCCCACCATTCAGGGAACACCCATTCTGGGTCCCTTAGAACTGGCTCTGCTGACTGAACTTATCAGTAAGACTTTCCTAGTGCTCAATGAATCCAAGCCCAAAGTGATTTGCTCTTGCTGGCTTTGCTATGATATACCTCCCCCATATTATGAAGGGATTTCCTTTGTTTCCCCTAATTTTAGCCTGTCTAACAAGTCCTTTTCTTGCCGATGAGCCGAGACGTCAGGTGTAGGACTCACCCTACAGGCAGTGATTAGCATGGGACTCTGTCTGGGCCATGTTCCCACCTCCTACCAGTCCCTTTGTTATACTTCTTATTCCCTTGTTCAGACTGCCTCCTATGTCATCCCTCCTGAGAATACATGGTGGGCTCGCTCGACTGGGCTCACGCCTGTATACACCTTGTCATTCTAAATGTATCTAGAGACTTTTACATATTAGTTCAGTTGGTACCCAGGCTGGTTTACCATCCTTATAAAGAAATGTTAGATAAATGGGGTGGAGACTATCGTAACAAATGAGAGCCCATCACTGCCTTGACAATGTCTCTTTACTTGGACTGGGTGCATCAGGGGTAGAGACAGGAACTTCTTCCCTGGTACTCCAAGGCAAAAGCTATCAAGAACTCAGGGCTGCCGTAGATTTGGATATAGAGAAGATAGAAGAGTAAATTGCCCACCTTCAAGAGTCCCTAATTTCCCTTTATGAAGTAGCTCTACAGAGCCACTCTGGTCTAGATTTACTCTTTTTACAACAGGGAGGGATTTGTGCAGCTCTAATGGAAGAGTGTTGCTTTTACTTTCACTCTGGGATGGTTAAAGACTCTATGGCAAAGGTAGGAGAGGGACTAGCCAAGAGAAAGAGAGCAAGAGAACGAGCCCAAGGATGGTTCAAATCTTGGTTTAATAGCTCCCCCTGGTTAACTACACTGATTTCTGCATTGTTAGGACCTCTGGTCATTTTGTTCCTGCTTCTGACCTTTGGCCTAAATCACATAGTTGCTTTTATTTAAGATTGCATTAGTACAATACAGTTGATGTTCCTGAACATAAAACTGGATACTCTGAACCTGATCAAAGAGAGAGTGGAGAATACCATAGAATTTATTGATACACTTATTATTCAATAAACCTCATTAAATGAACAATGTCAAGATGAAAATAGAGACAGTATCATTAATCTTTCAGGTTATAAATGGTGTACCACTTAAAACAGGAAATACTTGGCATGTGAGTAGGTTAAAGAACATAGAAAAATTAATGATCAAAGCTTAAGATAACAGAATACACTGAGGTCTTGACACAGGCAGCTCCCTTTGCTGGGGAGCCCTGTATTTTCCTTACACTTTTGTCATTAGACCTTTGTTCTATATCTTTTGGTATTTCAAAATGTGTCTTTGTTGTTGTTGTTACGACAAACTTCATAGTATGAATTTTTAAAAAGTTTAACATAGGAAATGCAAAGAAAAACCTATTTGAATAAATCATGCCAGGATTAGTTAACCATTTTACAGTAATATTATAAGATTCCAAGCCTAAAAATATAAAATCTATATCAAATTCTACTATTTACATTGATGCAATTGATAAGGCTTTACTGAATGATGTTCTTTTTATTTTAATGTCTTTGTTATCAAAGAAATGCTGTTTGTTTTATAGTTTATTATACCAATTACCACTCAAGTAACAATATTCATAGACATTGAATGTCATCGGACTACATCTGTAGATTTGATAGTTATTATGATCCTATTTGTTGTACTCTTTCCATCAGTGAATACTCACTTTCTAAAACAGGGTCTGTGCCATGGATGTCCCTAATTTATCTCATGCAGTAATAGTAAAATACACAATATAAAAATAACTAAAAATATTTAATGGTGAAAATTATTCTCTTCTTCCCTTTCTCCCCAATGCACTTCCTTCATTCCCCTTCCTTCCTGTCTTCCTTCCACATTTACTTTTTCCCTTTCTTTCCCACTTCCTTCTCTAAATTCTTTTTCTTTCCTAGTCTCTCTCCCTCCTGCTCTTCCCCTTCCTTTCTCGTCTCTGTCTTCCTCTACCCTTGTCGTTTTTTATCATAGCCATTTCTACTGTGCTTCCAGAATCTGTTCACTTAGACTGAGCTTCTGTAGCATAGCCAAAGAGCTGGTTGAAGTTAAGCTCCTGTGCTAACAGTGATTGGCAGATTCTTAAAAAGCAAATACAAGAAAATCCATCATGGGCATTCTTGATACCAGTGGGAACTTGTGCTTTTGTTATTTCTGACATCTAATGAATTCCCCCCTATAATTAAGCAACATCTTATTAAAACATTATTTTCAAGTGTCACCTAATATTTTCATGATTGTTTTTCTAAGAGCAGTTGATGTCTGATATTTTCTTTTATTTATGTCTAGAATTATTTCAAATAGATTGGCTTTCATTTTATATTTGAAGATAGAAAAGTATTACATGGTGTGGGAAGCTATCCTTATCACATCATCGCCATTAACAAGTCTGTGCACATACCCTGGAAGGTTTTGCCGCCTTGATTAATCCAACCGTTGGAACACGTCATGTGGCCTGAGGCAACAGGAGCCCATCAGAGACTGCCACGTCCCAGGCAGGCTTAGCTCTCTATATAAGGGAAGGGTTTTAGGCCCTTGGGGTCCCTCCTCGTTTGTGAAGCTTATGCTCTCCCTCTCAAGATGCATTAAAGCTTATACTGCAGAAGGATCCTGAGTGTGCCGCGTCTTTCCTGCGGGAGGTTGCGCGGGACATCTGGTGCCGAAAACCTGGGATAATAGACCTCACCATCGTCAGCACCTTGGAGGACCCCTTGACAGAGGAGGATTCAGAACTGCAGGAGGTAAGTTCAGAGAGGTATGTCTGTCCCTGAATCTTTCGGGTTGTGCCTTGCCGTCATTTTTGTAGTTTTGGTTTCGCTTCTTCTGACTCTTTGTTTTTACAGTGGACATTGCCTCTTAGCAGATTAAGTCTGAGGTAGATAACCAGCACCGCTTTCTTTGTCCTTAAAATATAGAGTGTTTTATTCTCGGCCATCAGTCGGAAGTAGATAAGCCGCAGGTTCGGGCCGCTGTACTTTCATTTTGTAACGGCGGTTCTAAGTTAGACGTAGATAAGCTGCGTCCCCCATGGGGTCATCACAGTCAGTAATCACCACTCTTGAGGCCGTACTCAGACAGTGGGATATCAAACTTGGACAAAGGACGTTAAAGAATTTTGTGAAAGAGGTGGATAGGGTCGCTCCCTGGTATGCCGTGTCAGGCTCTCTGACCCTTGCCTCCTGGAACAAACTGGGGAAAGACCTAGAGGGCCACTGCGACAACAAAGAACTTAGACAGGGGACCCTTGCTATTTGGAAACTCATTAAGAACTGTATACAAGATGAAAATTGTAGGGCGGTAGTTGAGAGTGGACGGGCTACCCTTGAGGATATTCAGGACAGCATGTCAGAAACTGAACGTAGTGAGAGGATGGGCACACGTAGGAAAAAGGTACCGAAACAAAAGGAAAAGGAACACCCTTCAGCTGAAGAAAAGAACCCTCCTAATAAAGGAGAGATACCCCCTAACGGGAAAAGCTCGCTTTACCCCAACCTAGAGGCACTGACTATCGACAGTGCAGAGAGTTCCTCTGGGGACTCCGGTGAGGAGTCATTAGATTCTACAGAGGAGGCAGAGTTAGATGAGGAAGCAGCAGAGTACGAGGCGGAGAGATACCATCCTGATGAGCACAGAATCAGAAAGCCTCTGAGGAAGAAAACGGTTCCCTCGGCCCCCTCAATTCCTCCTCCCCAATACGCTCCTCACTCGGGATATTCCCTGCTCTCAGAGAAAGTCAGGAAGAAGCTCAGGACAGCTTTCCCTGTTTTTGAAACAGAAAATGGAGGGCGAGTGTACGCGCCTGTAGACTTTACTCAACTAAAAGAATTGGCCGAATCAGTTCACAAATATGGACCCAACGCCAATTTTACTTTGGTACAATTAGATAGACTTGCCAGCAATGCCTTAACTCCCGCAGATTGGCAAGTGATTGTTCAAGCAGCCCTTCCCAGCATGGGTCAATACATGGAATGGAAGGCGTTATGGTACGAAGCCGCACAAATACAGGCTCGCGCCAATGCTGTCGCTCTCACTCCTGAACAGAGGGAATGGAGAATGGACTTGTTGACAGGCCAGGGAGCCTACGCTGCAGACCAAACCCGTTACTACTGGGGAGCCTACGCTCAGGTTGCAGCTACAGCCATTAGGCATGGAAGGCACTCTCCAAGAAAGGAGAGGCCAACACACAACTTACCAGGATAGTTCAGGGGCCTCAAGAATCTTTCTCAGACTATGTGGCTAGAATGACAGAGGCTGTGGGGCTTATTTTTGGAGATACTAGTCCGATGGAGCCTCTGATTCAACAATTAATCTTTGAACAAGCCACACAAGAATGTCATGCGGCCATTGCCCCACGAAAACATAAGGGGTTACAAGACTGGCTGCGGGTTTTTCGCGAGCTCAGTGGACCCCTTACTAACGCCGGATTGGTGGCAGCCATTCTCCAGTCACAGAGACGCCCAGCTGATAAAACTAATCCTAAGGTCTGTTATGGGTGTGGCAAGCCCGGTCATTTTAAGAGAGATTGCCCCACGGCTAACAGGAAACCAGGTGTTCCCTCGCTCTGCGACAGATGTGGTAAAGGATACCATAAGGCCAGTTCATGCAGTTCCATTAGAGACATGGAGGGCCAGCTTCTCCCTCCTTTAGATGACCAAAAAAATGGAATGGCAGGCCCTCGGTCCCAGGGCCCACAAAGATATGGGATCCAATGGAACAAGAGCCAGGAGGTCCCAGGGCCCACAAAGATATGGGATCCAATGGAACAAGAGCCAGGAGGGCCAGGAGGAAGAAGAGGAGAGTCGGCAGATGCCCAAGGGCAACCCCACCGTATGTATGGACCTCCGCGCCTCCACCGACTTTTTATTGACACCCCACCTAGGAGTTCAACGGGTCCCGGTAGAACCTGTAGTCTTGGCCCCGCGGACTGTGGGCCTCATTTTAGGCTGAGCGTCACTTGCCCTCCAGGGTTTGATAGTCCTCCCAGACATTGTAGATACCCAACATTCTAGAGACCTTCAAGTCCTTTCCTCTAGCCCTAAGGGAGTTTTTTCTATTTCAAAAGGAGATCGAATCGCTCAATTATTGCTACTCCCAGGGATAGAAGAAAACCCAGGAATAGATACTAAATGTCTGGGATCCTCCGGAACTGATTCTGCTTATCTTATGATTTCATTAAGAGACAGACCTAAATTACATTTGACAATTCAAGGGAAAATTTTTGAAGGAATTCTAGACACAGGAGCAGACAAGAGCATCATTTCCACACTATGGTGGCCTAAGGCTTGGCCTATCACTGAGTCCTCTCATTCTTTACAAGGCTTGGGATATCAATCCAGCCCTAATATTAGCTCTACCATTCTTCGATGGTCCGCTCCTGACAGGAAACGAGGACAATTTATCCCTTATGTGCTTCCTCTCCCCGTTAATCTATGGGGGAGAGATGTTTTGCAAGACATGGGCTTTACCCTCTCAAATGAAAATTCTGAACATTTAGAGGAAACTCCTATCCTCGGGTCTTACTCCCCACAAGCATGAGGCATGATGAAAATAATGGGTTATAAAGGAAAAGGACTGGGAAAATCAGAACAAGGAAGGATTGAACCTGTAAGTACTACCCAAAAGTCAGACAGAAAAGGACTGAGTTTTTTCTAGGGGCCGTTGAGGGATTCTTACCCATACCGTGGAAAACAGAGGTCCCTGTGTGGGTTCCTCAATGGCCCTTCTCCTCTGAGAAATTACTTGCCATTACAAAATTGATGGAAGAACAAATGAGACTAGGACATCTTGAGCCCTCCACCTCGCCCTGGAATACACCTGTCTTTGTTATTAAGAAGAAGTCCGGAGGCTGGCGTTTACTCCATGACTTAAGGGCCATTAATAACCAGATGCATTTGTTGGGGCCCGTCCAGAGGGGACCCCTGGTACTCTCAGCCCTCCCAAAAGAATGGAGCCTGCTCATTATTGATATCAGAGATTGTTTTTTTTCCATTCCTCTATGTGTTCAGGATAGACCTAGGTTTGCCTTTACCCTTCCTTCTATTAACCATGCCGAACCAGATAAGAGGTTCCAATGGAAGGTTTTACCTCAAGGGATGGCCAATAGCCCTACTATATGTCAGGCCTTTGTACAGGCTGCTTTAGAGCCATTGAAGACACAATTCCCTACTATTTTTATCCTCCATTATATGGATGATATTTTATAAGCACATAAAGACTTACAAGTTTTACAGAGGGCCTATCCCTACTTATCCCAAACTCTAGAACAGTGGGGTCTTAAAATCGCCACTGAGAAAGTGCAGCTCTCGGATACCGGCAAGTTCTTGGGGACAGTCATCTCTCCCACCTATATACGTCCCCAGAAGGTTGAAATTCACTATGACCATCTTCACACACTCAATGATTTCCAGAAGTTACTGGGAGACATAAATTGGCTTCGGCCTTTTCTAAAGATTCCCACGACAGAGCTAAAACCCTTGTTTGAAATTTTAGAGGGCGATTCTCACATTTCTTCACCCAGAAGTCTTACACCCCTGCTCGTCAAGCGTTGGCGACAGTTGAGGTTGCCTTACAAGATGCTCAATTACAACGCATTGACCCTTCCTTACCTCTTGTTTTGTGTGTTCTGAGAACGGCTGGCCTTCCAACAGCTGTGTTGTGGCAGAATGGCCCCCTCCTATGGATCCATCCAAATGCCTCTCCCAACAAGGTTATAGAGTGGTACCCCTCTGCGGTCGCTCAGCTGGCCCTCCGTGGTATTAAATCAGCCATTATGCATTTTGGAAATGAGCCGGCCACCCTCCTGGTGCCTTATATGGCCGCCCAGGTACAGGTCTTAGCTGCTGCCTCGGATGATTGGACAATTTTAATATCCACATTTTCGGGTAAGATTGATAACCATTACCCTAGACACCCAATCCTCCAATTTGCTTCAAGACAAAGTATAATTTTCCCAAAAATCACCTCTACAAAGCCTGTTAAAGAAGGAACGGTAGTTTACACTGATGGTTCATCCAGTGGTACTGGAGCATATGTAGTAGGTGATAAGGTGGTTTCTAAACGTTTTGATGTAACCTCGCCTCAGATGATAGAATGCTTAATAGTATTAGAAGTGCTTAGAGAATTTCCAGGGCCCCTTAATGTAGTGTCTGATTCTGCTTATGTGATAAATGCAGTAAATCTTCTAGAAACAGCTGGTATTATCAGGCCCGCCAGTCCTATTCAAAAGGTTTTTTTAAGTATTCAGTATGCCCTTCTGAATAGAAAACCCCCTGTATATTTTACTCATATGCGGGCCCATTCTGGACTTCCTGGCCCCATAAGCAAGGGCAATACTTCGGCAGATAGAGCCACTAGACTTACGGCCGTGGCCCTGTCTTCCCCTTTAGATTTGGCTAAAGATTTTCATCACACTTTCCACGTGACGGCAGAGACATTACGCCGTCGTTTTCTTATCACCAGAAAGGAAGCCAGAGATATTGTTACTCAATGTCATAATTGCTGTGAATTTCTTCCTACCCCTAACATGGGGGTGAACCCTCAGGGCGTGTGGCCTTTACAGGTCTGGCAAATGGATGTGACTCATGTCCCTTCCTTTGGAAAATTCCAATATGTTCATGTCTCCATTGATACCTGCTCTGGCATAATGGTTGCTACGCCTTTGACAGGTGAGAAGGCCTCTCATGTCATCCAACACTGCCTAGAGTCATGGGCTGCATGGGGCCGCCCTAAGCTCCTAAAAACTGACAATGGTCCTGCTTATACCTCTGCAAAGTTTCAACAATTTTGCCGACAGATGAACGTTACTCATCTCATGGGCCTCCCTTATAACCCACGGGGCCAAGGAATTGTTGAACGTGCTCACAGGACTTTAAAGTCTTATCTACTTAAACAGAAGGAGAGTTTGAAAGAACTCCTCCCCCCCCATCCCTAGGGTAGCCGTTTCTATGGCCCTCTTTACCCTTAATTTTCTGAATCTGGATGACAAGGGATATACAGCTGCAGAAAGACACTGCTCTGAGCCTGACCAACCAAAGGAATTAGTTAAATGGAAGGATGTGTTGTCTAACACGTGGAGAGGACCGGATCCTATTTTAATAAGATCCAGGGGAGCTGTTTGTGTTTTCCCACAGAATGAAGAAAGCCCATTTTGGATCCCAGAGAGATTAACAAGGAAGGTCGGAGAACCAGACCAAGATGCTGCCAGCGACCAACAGCCCAGTGGTGCTGTGGATCCTCCATCTCTGGGTTCCTAGTATTTTGGGGGTTCAGAGATGGGCCATAATGAATACATTCCCTATTCCTAAGCCAGTGATGCATAATGCTCAGGTGTTTCCACGCTTTTTTGTGACCAATAAGACGCTGGGGCTTGCTTTTATCCCGTTTGATGACCAAAGTCATTCAGTGGAAACTAACAATAGTTATGTTTTGAAGGGGAGCCTATGTTTTACGATCATTCCCTCCCCTAATAAAACCAGTCAGTGTATCCAAATTTATAACCAGTCCGCAGCATGGTTGCTAATCCCTTTGATCAATGGCTTCTTTGTGGCATTAACAGAAGCTGCACAGATTTATCTTCCATGGTTATGATTAATGGAGGCAAGGCTGCCAAAGGACAGTTAAAATACGATTGGAAAGGACGGGCAGGGTCAAGAAGTGTTTCCTGGACGACCTCAGTCGTTTCCTATTCTCCTTTTAGGGAGTTGGCCTTTAAACCCACACCAGTATGTGTTTGGCCCCCTTTTTATCTGGCTTGTTAGTAATGATAGTACTATTTGGAAAGATACCCTACAATGTATTCCTAAAATTTGTTTTTATAGACTTTGTTGGAATGCTACTGCCTTTCCTTTTGCTTTGGTAATTTGGCTACCTAGATTTGTATCCATGCTGGTTGAGGTGCCTAATAGTTTAAGCAGTTTTAGAGTGAAGAGAGATTTTGGTATCTCTGCCATTATAGTTGCCATCATTGCCACAACAGCTGTGGCTGGCACGGTTACCACCTCTGCTTTGGCCCTTTCCTCTTCAGTACAGACAGTAGACACTATTAATCATCTGTCTGCCTCGGTCACATCAGCACTAGATGAACAGGTCTCTGCCAACTCACAAATCCTGGGAGGATTAATGCTAGTGAATCAATGCGTTGACCTCGTTCAGGAACAGATTGACATGTTGTGGCAATTATCCCAATTGGGCTGCGAACAAAAAATGGCGAGACTTTGTGTTACCTCTATTCAATATGAAAATTATACTAGAGCAGCAAATTTTTCTAAAACTTTATCTCAGTTTTTATTACAGAATTGGACTGTAGAGTTTGAAGAGACACTTCGGAAGTTACGCTTTGCAATTATAGAAGTGAATTCTACCAGACTTGATTTGTCCCTGACCGAAGGACTGTCTACCTGGATCTCTTCAATATTTTCTTATTTTAAAGAATGGGTGGGGGTGGGTCTTTTCGGAGCCTTGCTCTGCTGTGGGCTGGCGCTCGTGTTGCAGCTCCTTTGCAAGCTCAGGTCACAGCGACAATAGGATAAGGTGGTGATTGTCCAGGCACTTGTAGCACTGGACTAAGGGAACTCAATGGAATTCTGGATAGCCATGATTAACAACTGCCCCAAAGACCTGTTAAGACAAGGCCATAATCTGTAATACCATCTCCTCCCCCTGCCAAATGGCCCTGGCACCTCTGGGAGTTTTTCTCCATTGCACAAGAGTTGGGCATTTTGGCTTCCCTAATTCTTTCTGTCTATCTGTCCCAGGAACCAAATCCAGACTCAAGAAGGGCTCGGGTTCCCATTGCACCTTGAGGACTGTGATATGGTTGTTCTCACACTCGTTAAGCTCGGGAGGGCTGGAGTTCCCATTGCACCCCGAAGTGAGTGTAGAGACACGGGCCTGCCTCACTTATTGAGGAGGAGAAAATCTAGACCTCTCTCCTTTTGATTGGTTTGTGTCTGCCCGGCCTGAACTCTCTCACTACTCTATGGCCTCTTCTTAGGGTCTCTTTTAAATAAAAAGGGGGCAGATGTGGGAAGCTATCCTTATCACATTATCGCCATTAACAAGTCTGTGCGCATAAGCTGGAAGGTTTTCCCGCCTTGATTAATCCGACCGTTGGAACATGTCATGTGGCCTGAGGCAACAGGAGCCCATCAGAGACTGCCACGTCCCAGGCGGGCTTTGCTCTCTATATAAGGGAAGGGTTTTAGGCCCTTGGGGTCCCTCCTCATTTGTGAAGCTTATGCTCTCCCTCTCAAGATGCATTAAAGCTTATACTGCAGAAGGATCCTGAGTGTGCCATGTCTTTCCTGCTGGCGGGAGGTTGCGCGGGACAACATGGTATATTTCATTTAACGGGAATTATCTGTTAAAACAGAATAATTAATAATTCATAAATAATAAAGCAACTATTGGTGTTATTGTTCAATGGTTCAGCCATAGAAAACCATATAATTCATAATAGAAAGAGGAATACCCATGTATGTGCTTTGAATCTATGAAATGAGAAGAAGACATGGAGTGCAAGTCCCAAGGAACAAGAACTATACATTTGATTGAGAACAGTTGGCACCTATTTCCCCTTTGTCTCTGGCCCTTGTTGTTCCCAACCAGGAGATTTCATAGAATTATATTTAATGTTTCTTTACTCTACTCTATTTTTTCTTTTCAAAAAAACTTTCAAGATTTCTAGGGTCTTTTACTTGATGATGAACATATTTTATTTCCAATATTGGTATGTATATCATCATGATATATGTATATGTTTTTCAGAATATATATATTATGTTATATATAGATAAATATATGTATGCAAATATATATTTAATTATTAAATAAATTTATTTATTTATTTATGTATATATTATATATTTGATTTATACAGTATGAAATATATATGCATGTATCGTGGTAATACACATAAATATATATTGCTATCAATAAAAATAGTGTAATATATCAATATATATAAATATATTTAATATATTTTGAAGCACAGATTTCAGAATAAAAAAGTATGTATATAATTTTTTCTGAACACTAAAGACTGAAGACTAATATTGAAATCAGATTTAGTGGGTTTAGGTGAAACTAAACTGCATTTCAGTACCGTGGACAAGAGCTTGTGCTAATGACGTTGTTTACACTGTTGGAATCTGGGATACTTCTCTACAGGTTTAGGACATGTTTTTCAAGGAATTGAAATGAAGGTTCCAACAGATTGCATTGTAGCTGGAAAATTTTACACATCTAACAGAGTTACAGTAGAGTTAAAAAATGTATCATGAAGTTTTATAGCAGGTTACATGAATAAAGGCACACAAAGGCCCTGAGTTTCATTCATGGAATCTAAGAAAAGCTGTAGTCTGATGCAAAGGGCGTAATTTGAGTGTTTGTATTTTTGATTGACACAAAAATTACATGATGACTTATATGTGAGTATGCTCTTCCCATCCTGAGTTTAATCATATGCACACTCAATTATCCATCTAAGTAAGAGAGCAAATGAGGAATTTTCTCTAAAACCTTCTAAAGTTGCAATTTTCATAGGGCACGTTACTCAAAACCTCTAGGTTAACTGGTCCCTTGCCTGTAGCTCCTAGGTGTCCTCTATGGTATGCTTAAGTGGAAATGGATTGTTACCAAAGAATTGATAAGAGGAGTAACTTATTCCCATTATTTAAGACAGGCATATACATAATCTTGTGCAAAGGGTAGTCCAATGTCATCACACAGTTGCTAAGTGCCTTGTTCAGGAACAGGTGTGTGTGTGTGTGTGTGTGTGTGTGTGTGTGTGTGAGTGTGTGTGTGTGTGTGTGTGAGCATGCACGTGCATGCACGCACACATATGTGTATGTGTGGAACTGCATGTGTATGTCTTGTGCATATATGTGTGAATATATGCACATGTTTATGTGTATGTTTATATGTGGGTACATATGCATCTTTGAGTGTGTATGTGTGTAAATGTGTATGTGTAAATGTGTGCTTATATGTGTATGTTTGTGTGTGTATATATGTATGTGTGTATGTGCATGTGTGAGTGTGTGTATGTGTGTGAGTGTATGTGTGCAAAGATAAGGGTTTCTGGTTATATTCTTAGAATATACATAATTCAAAGAGTGCTACATAGTCCATTGAGCCCCAGATGTCTTTCTCTTCTCTAAACTTTACAGCACCAGTGTAAGATAAAGTTTTAGTTTTATATAACTTTTAACTAATTTTGTTTATGTTGTAGGACTGTGCACAGTTGAAAATATCTCTTTGGATTATGGACTTTGATACCTTATATGGTGGAATGACTCTACATCTATAACATACACTGTATTGGTTGACCATCTTAAAAATCCCTACCATATGCTATGTTCATTTAATTATTAAACTATGTTTTCATAAAGCCATTTTCATGAAAGTATGTAATATATTCAAGCATATTTCCCCATTCCATAGTAAATATTCTTCTTTATCTTACCCTTCATCTAAGCAATTTCTCTTCTACTGTTATGTCATATCTCCATATATGATTTTAACTATTTATGTTAGAAGAATTTATAGTATATATACACAGTAGAATTTTTTTAGCCATAGTGAGGAATGAACCTAAATTATTCCAAGGAAAAATACACAGCTAGAGGAAACCATGTTAAGGGAAATGACTTATTCTAAGACATGTTAAATATTGCACATTTATTCTCATGTGTCAGTCTTACATTTTATACCATAAACAATGTCATACTCTTAATGACAAATAATTTTAGATCTAGAAGTTCAACGGCCTATGCTATTTTTGAGCATCCTTATGGTATGATAAGTTAAAAAATGTGAAACAATTCAAAATTGGAAATGAATCTCTATAGCTAAAATTTGAGTCAACATTCCAAAGAATACAGTTATGTCTCTAGTTTGAAGTTATTTTATATGTTCTATATAATCACCTCACAATGAGACTATTTGCTTACTGAATACAAAATAATGTTTAAAGAAACAATGACTCACTATCTCTGAAAAATTTTGGCAGATACACTATATACCTTGCAAAGAAGTCTATGCAATTGCTCTCTTATTTCCACATGTGAATTGTTTTTTGAAGTGCTCTAGATTTCTATTAAGAACAATGTGATAATCCAGAGTGCGAAAAAGTCTCATTTATACAAATGTTTGACATTTAAGTGAATATAGATGCCAATAACAAGCACCTAAATCATTCAAATATATACTGTTTAGTATCTCCAATATCCTGGGTTTGATCTCTGCTATTCAATAAAACAGAACCAATTACAAATATCTAGAAGTCCCTATAGATTTATTATGATACAAATTTACTTAAATTGGCTCCTGTTTATAGCCTTTTCATATGTTTCTAACCAAAAATAATTAATTTCAATTCCAAATTTTTGATAAGATAGTCATTGTCATTTTTCAAGTTGTAATATAAAGGTGTCTTATCTATTGGTTTTAAACTTTAAGTTTATGTATGAAGATAATAGCTCTGAACAAGTTGTCCTCAATCAGTCTTTATCATTGCTTGGGATCAAACACTGGATATAAACAACTTAGGAGACTAAAAGGCTTATTTATTTTATCATGGTTTCACAAATGTCCATTCATGATTGGGGACAAACTATAGCAAAGCAGAGAATTGGAAATCCTGGTACAAGTAAAAACAGAACGTGAGTACAGATGGGCCAGAGCAAGATGTAAAGATTGCCAGAGAGATATTTTTCCTCTATTGAGACCCAGTTCCTGATTTATGCCACTCCACAATATCACAGCATTATGAATGTACTGATTAAATTGGAGACACCATAGTTTAATAATTACTGAAAAAAAGTCAATGATTAAGAGTGTCTCAGGAATCACTAACTCAACATGTGACTGGACTAGTCATTACGCCAGCACAGACAAAAAAAGAAAAAAGAAAAAACAAAAACAAAATACAAAACAAATACAAACTAAACCCACAAACCATGTAAGACAAATGAACAAACAACAAAACCCCACTAAAAGCCCTCTAGAATTCTCCAGATATCTAGGAAGTGAGAGCATATCAGAACTCAAAGACAAAGACTTTAGACAAAATGCCCTACAGAGGGGAGAGGGAACTTATAGTGTCCATCTCCTGTAGAAAGATAGGGTATCAAATGGAGGAATGGGGTTGCCATCTCACAGTCAAAAACTCTGACCCATAATTGTTCCTGTCTAAAAGAACTGCAGGGACAAAAATGGAGAAATGCCTGAGAAAAGGAGGGCCTAATTGGGATCCAGATCATGGGGAGGCCCCAAGGCCTGACACTATTACTGATGCTATGAAGTGCTTACAAACAGGGGCCTACCATGACTGCCCTCTGAAAGACCTAACAAACAGCTGAAAAAGTCAGTTGCAGATATTTAAACCGAATAAACTGAAAGAAGCTGGTGACCCCTGTGGTTGAATTAGGGAAAAGCTGGAAGAAGCTGAGGAGGAAGGCTTTCCTATAGGAAGAACATGAGTCTCAACTAACCTGGACCCCCAAGATCACTCAGACACTGAGCCACCAACCAGGTAGTGAACAGCAGATGATATGAGGCTTGCAACACATATACAGTAGAGGACTGCCAGGTCTGGGCTCAGTCAGAGAAGATGGATCTAACCCTAAATAGACTTGAGGCCCCAGATAGTGAGGAGTTCTGGTAAGGTGTGGGCAAAGGACACTCAATAGGACAATATGGCAACCCACAGATTGGGAAGAGATCTTCACCAATCCTACATCCTATATAGGGCTAATATCCAATATATACAAAGAATACAAGAAGTTAGACTCCAGAGAAACAAATAACCCTATTAAAAATGGGGTGCAGATCTAAACAAAGAATTCTCAACTCAGAATTAACGAATGGCTGAGAAACACTTAAAGAAATTTTCAACATCCTTGGTCATCAGGGAAATGCAAATCAAAACAAGCCTGGGATTCTACCTCACATCAGTTAGAATGGATAAGATCAAAAATTCAGGTGACAGCAGATGCTGGTGAGGATGTGGAGAAAGAGGAACACTCTTCCATTGTTGGTGGGGCTGCAAACTGGTACAAACTGGAAATCAATCTGGCGGTTCCTCAGAAAATTGGACATAGTATTACCTGAGGACCCAGCTATACCATTCCTGGGGATTTACCCAAAAGATGCTCCAACATATAACAAGGACACATGTTCCACTCTGTTCAAAGCAGCCTTATTTATTACTATTGCCAGAAACTGGAAAGAACCCAGATATCCTTCAGCAGAGGAATGGATCCAGAAAATGTGGCGCATTTACACAATGGAGTACTACTCAGCTCTTAAAAACAATGACTTCATGAAATTTGCAGGCAAATGGATGGGACTAGAAAATATCATCCTGAATGAGGTAACCCAGACATAGAAGAACACACATGATAGGTACTCCCTGATAAGTGGATATTAGGCAAAAATCTCGGAACACACGTTATACATATCACAGAACATATGAAGCTCAAGAAGAAGGAATAACAAAGTGTGGATGTTTCAGTCCCTCTTAGAAGGATGAACAAAATACTCACAGGAATTAGAGGGTGGGAGGGACTTGGGAGAAAGAAAGGAGGGGGTGGGGAAAGGGAGGTAGGATCGGGTATGGGAAGAGATGGAGATGTTAGACAGAGGGCCAGGAAATTTAACAGAGTTGTATAGCAATGGGGGGTAGGGAACTGGGGGTAGCCACTAGAAAGTCCCAGAAACCAGGAAAGCAAGAGGCTCTCAGAATGCAAAGGGAATGAGATTAGCTGAAATGCCCTACAAAGGGGAGGGAGAACCTGTAGAGACCATATCCAGAGGTTAGGCAAGGCCCCCAGTTGGGAGATGGGGCCACCCACTCCTCTCCATATTTTTAACCTAGAATGGCTCCCGTCTAAAGGAAATATGGGGACAAAGTGTGGAGCACAGACTGAAGGACAGGCCATCCAGAGACTGCCCCACCTGGGGATCCATTCCACATACAGAAACCAAACCCATTCACTATTGTAGATGCCAAGAAGTGCTTGCTGACAGGAGCATGATATAGTTGTCTCCAGACAAGATATGCCAGGACATGACAAATACAGATACGGATGCTGGCAGTCAACCATTGGACTGAGCACTGGGACTCAGATGGAGGAGTTAGGGAAAGGACTGAAGTAGCTCAAGGGGTTTGCATGGTGCCAGCTGCATATGTAGCAGAGGATGGCCTTATCTGTCATCAGTGGGAGGAGAGGCACTTGGTCCTGTGGAAGGCTCGATGCTCCAGTATAGAGGAATGCCAGGGTGGTGAGGTGAGAATGGAGGTGGGTGGGAGCACCCTCATAGAAGCACGGAAGGGGAGATGCGATAGGGAAAACTAGAAAGGGGACAACATTAGAAATGTAAATAAATAAAATATCTGATAAAAAATGAGTCATTTTACTGTACAAAGTATAATTTATTGACTATTATGTTTATGGTAAATTAGAAGAACTTGTATTCTTTACAGTTTAACATTTGATTACTCTGGTTTCTCAGTTTATACAAAGATGCTTTTATTCATACAGTCTTCCAAGTCCTCAATCTTAGTAAAAACCAAGCTTTTATTTAGTAAGAAGACTTAATAAAATTTAAAATGCTGTAGTTACGGATATACCTTTCATAAATTAATAGATATGTGTTTATATTATTTCATAAAGTTAGTACACACAGCTAGGTATGGTAATATATGCCTTTAATCCCACGTTCCGAAGGCAAAAACATGTGGATCTCTGTGAGTTTAGAGGCAATCCTGGTCTACATAGTGAATTACAGGACTGACAGTGCTATGCAGTGAGATCAAGTCTCAATGCTGCCTTCTGCTCTACACACACAAAATCAGTGGATTCCGTTTTAATAATTTTCTAGCATGGCAAACAAAACAAATTTAATTCTCATAGTTCTTAACACTAGCAATCCTAGATGACAATGTTGCTAGATTTGCTATCTTCTGAGTTCTTTCTTCATTTGTAGATATTTTTTTGTTGTTTCTTCTCCTGGGAGTTTCTTTTTCTGTATGCACATCTGTGTATCTTACTTACTAAACAGTCTTATGATCTCATTTTATTTAGTGACTTTTTCAAAAGCACTAACCTTCACATATTTCTGTTTTGAGATACTATAAGTTGGATATTAAATATAGCAGTTTATAATAGATTTATTAACACATGCATGAGTATCTTGAATACATATCTGATACTGGATATATTTTTCATTTCTTTTGTGGAAA